TTTTGCAATACGCTTTGTAACGTTTCACGCGTAAAATATGCGCGGCCGGCGCGGCTCCAGATTGATTGGCCCGTCGCGCTAGGCGTACCGGCCGATTATTAGCCGCACGCGCGGCCGCGGCCTTAACTCAAGACGGATTAGCGCGCGCTCTTGCCGCGAATTAGCTTGGAATCCCGGCGATGGTGTGTCTCGGGGCGTCTCTTCGCGCGTCGCGCCTCGGCCCGCGGTATTATTCACGACCGGCTGTCGCGGGCCGAGCGATAATCTCGTTTAACTTTCGGTTCGCGGAACACGCGCCGTCTAGCCGCCTCTAACGAGGACCGCGCCTGATGGATTCGCGGTTATATCGGGTCGTCCCATAAATAATGCGCTCCTTGCAGGCATCTTTTGCTTCGAACAATCGAAACGAACGGAACACCGTTTCCAGTGGAATTATAATGCACCGATTATCTATAGGTAGATAGCGGAGAAGGATGCATCCTCGGCCGAAAGCAACTTTGTTTATCCCGATGCTTGAAAATAGAAGCGCGTGGAAATCGCGATATTTATGGGACGATCCGATATCCGAGGAAAGGGCGAGACGGGGAGGATCCCGCGAATCGTGTGAAACGCGCGTTTCTCCCGCGAAGACACCGGGAGGAACAGTCGTTCTCCAACCCGACGAAAGAAACCGGCTAATAATAAAGTCCTGGATCGGCTGGCTCCTCCTCCTACTCCATTCCTGCTCAGCCGAGCGCCTCGACCCGTTTACTCGCGAGGATCGCTCGCGTGCTGCCCCGACGAAAGTGTCGACGCGGGTAATTAAGTTGCCCTCGGCATTGATAGCCTATCGAACGGTATCGCGTGCTCACTGGCGATCCTCGCTGCTCGAGTATATGGGGACGCCAGAGTTTTTCGAGACACTTGTTCATCGGCGCGTTCGTTGGTTAAAAAGATCACCTGGAATCTAATCTGTTGACACGGCAGAGAAGTGTTCCCTAATTTTTCAACCCTCTTTCGAGTTTCTACTCCGGGGAATCGGTATTCCTCGAAAGACTCTGCAGTTCAAAGCCCTGCGTCAGCTGGTAGCTCTAAGGGTCTACGCGATCTATTATGCAGACACACACTGTTCTTGCTCAACGTAGCTTGACCGTTAATTGAACGAGAACCTGGAATGTGACCCGTTGCGTGAAAGTGACGCGTGCAGAATTAGCCGGTGACTCTTGTACCAGTAGGAACATTGACTTCTGCTGGACAGGTCCAATTACAATCCGATCGAGGGGAAACCTGAAGTTACCTTTCATCAAATCGACTCCCGCGAACAGCGTACTTTTCCTACCGAAAGTCTCGCTCACGGGTTTTCCAGCGTGCGGCCGGCCGAAGCGTTTTTCACTGTATTTCGCGCCCCCTCCCAATCTCCCCGATCGCGGCCGCGATTAATTTACCCGACACATGCGCCGTACTTTATTTACATGAATCCCCGGTAAAAATTCAATCTGCATTCATGCGGTCCTAACATGTTCCAGCGTTCCCAGATTTACATATCTCCGTAATTAATCCGAATCGGACACATGTCGCGACAAGATTTTTCACCGGGCGTAGCCTCCGTCGATCCGGGCCGGCCGTATCGGCGAGATTTCCAGGCCGGGGAACAGAACGCGATTAACGGTAACTCTCCTTCGTGTTTATCGATTCGATTTGAGCGGAACGGCGCGGCGCGGCGCAATGAAGTCGAGGAAAAGTTCTCTCGCCGGCCGCGCACTTTCTTCGAGCCGGCTCCGTCCGCGTCCCGGGGAATCGCGGCCGAGCGAAATGTTGCTTAATCACGGTTACATCGCCGATACCGCTGATAATGTCCGGCTGACGTAGACGTATAGGAGTAGACGTGCGCGCGCGCGATGCTATCGCGCCGTTTCGGCCAATTTATATCTGCGCTCGAGCGTGGATAACTTGGCCACCGGGAGGTACTGACGATAAAAAGGTCGCCGGGAAAACACACGGCCCGCCAGATGTTGTTGCGAGCCGCTCGAGGCGGCTACGCGCGTCTCGCGAGCAAACAGAATGAGGGCCGATAATTAAGTTTCGCATTTATTCCCCCGTCTAGCTTTTCTTTCCCGATCGCGCGTCTATCGCGAACGATAACAGCGCTAATCCCCGCCGAAGTGAAAGGTCAGTTCGAAACCGAGAGCTGACAAACGAGACTACGCGTTGCGCGGAATTTTTTTCAGTTTCCAACACGCAGAATTGGCCAAGCTGCCAGAGTTTTCGCGGATGAAATGTATATCGTTTGTCTTCGCGCTCCTCTCGGGCGTCCGCCTTACCGAGTACCACCGCTGCACGGCACATCGTTGGCAACTTTGGAAAGTTTACGGATGGTTATAGATTAGTCGAACGAAGTAGTAATTTGATTTTTTTATTGAACGGGTTAATTCCTTTCTCCGCGCCTTTCCTTCCGCCGATGGAACGCGCGGAGCGGAGTCGCCTCTTTCTCAGTTTTCCGCGAGACGCGTCGACTTTGAGGTAATCATGGCGGATGATCATTATCATCATATATCTATATCCATACGAGAGTTCGTTCCGCGGCTTCCCGAGTCGGGCAGGAAGCGGAGCCAATTAAATCTGAATTTATCGGTATAATTATACTAATTGGTCGGTTTTGGGCGATGTCGATTCATCTATCTCCGACCCCACCGAAACGCCTCGAGACGGAGCCGATCGAATCGGAGCAGACGTGAAAGGTTTCGAGCGGAGAATCACCGGGTTTCGAATAAAACTGAAAAGAGACGGTTAACTCGGAATTAATTCCGATCGAACGGGAGACCGCGGACCTCCCGGATCAGGGAATAAATTAGAATTCGACGGTACCCTCGGGGATCGGTTGATAAAGTTATTACATCGACTCGTTAACCGAGGAATTATTTAATTAGCTCCTCCCCGATTTTCCTTCGCGGTCTCTATAAATT